CCTTTAAGTTGTCTTTCTTAGGCTTTTGGTCCCAGCAACAAAAGTATCGGAGTCCACCAGCATCACTGCAGTACCTCCTGGACAGAGACTGATGCCTGGCCAAGGCCTGACCCCTGCAGCATCCAGGCAGCACAGGCCTGGGGCTTACTCTGTGTCACAGGAAGCCAGTGCAAGAGAGCAGGGCCTTGAGAACACAGGAATGCTTGGAAAGGTGCCCAGCCACGGGAGGGCCAAAGGATGACCACGGCAGGGTACCTGAGAGGTGAGCTGGCCACAGGCCTGCAGACAGGTAAAGAAATCTATTCATATGAGGGGGGTGGGGAGGTGTTTATTTGAAGAAATAATGTGCAAAAACTCCCCTAAACTTGAAAAAACAACAATGGAAAGCAGTGGACACACAAATTTAAGAAACTCATTGCAGTGACAGTATTAAAGAGTAAGATAGCTTACAGGGGTTGAGAAGCTTTAGCACCTCACTTTAATGATCAGCTAGATTCCTAATTTTAGAGTAGGACTTCTCCTAAATCTACCACAGACAACTAAACAGACATACACAGAGTGGCCCACCAGCAGTAACATAATACACATTCTTCTCAAGTATATTCCAAACATTCTCAGAAAAGACTGAAACCATAAAAAATACTTTCTCTGACCCCAGTGGAATGAAGCTAGAATAACAGGAAACTAGGGCATTCACAAATGTGTACAAATAAAGCAAGACACCCTTAACCAAGGGGTCAAAGAATAAATCTAAAGGAAAACTAGAAAAAATCCTGAGATAACTAAAATAAAAACAACATAGCTAAACGTTGGGATTCAGTGAAAGGTGCAGTGAGGAAGAAAATTATAGCTGTAAATAAACAAAAAAACAAAAAAACAAAAAAAGAAAAAAAAGATCTCCAAGCAGAAACCTGCTTTACACTTAAAAAAAAAAAAAAAAAAAAAAAGAGCGAACTAAATTCAGAGATAACAAAAGTGGACAATGTTACAGCAAAGAAAACAAACAACCCCCTCCCAGAAAATCAGTGAAGTCATTCTTCAAAAAGATAACAAAATTGATAAAACTGTAGCTAAAAAATTGAGAATCAACTAAATCAGAAAGGGGGCATTGAGATTGTACGAGAATACTGTGAACAACTGTATGTTCACAAGTTGGGTAACTTACATGAAATTTCCTGGAAGCATGCACCCTACCAGAACCAAATCACAAAAAAACAGGAAATCTGAACGAATCTACAAATTGCAGGGGCATTGCTGGGAAATTATTCATTACTAGTTTAAAGAAAGGGAATGCTTGCTAATCTATGAAACCAGCAGCACCCTGCTACCAAAGCCAGAAGAAGACACTATAGGAAAACTACATCAATATAAAAACCCTCAACAGAATAACAAATGGAACTGGACCTGGTAGTTTGCACCTGTAATCCCTGTCCTTAGGAGCTGAGGCTGAAAGACCTCAAATTCAAGGCCAGCCTGGGCTACAGAAAGATACCTTGTCTCAAAACAAAAATAGAATAGTAAAAAATTGAGTCCCTGGGGCTGGTGAGATGGCTCAGTGGTCTAAAGCACCTACTTAGAACAAGCTTAGCAAAGCACAGGGACCACGGTTCAATCCCCCAGCACCACATGCCGGCCAGCCCCGCCCCCTGGTGGGCTGAGCTGGCCACACACACACACACACACACACACACACACAAATAAAAAATTAAAAATAAAAAAAATTGAGTCCCTGCTGCATATTAAAAGGATTATTTACCATGCACAAGTAGGCAGTATCCTCGGAATGGAAGAAAATTGGTGTAACCATCACATTACAGAATGGGGGCGGGGGACAACATGCATTTTAATTTCTGGAGCAAATGCATATGGCTACCAACACTCCTCCTGAAGGGAAGAACAAGACAAAGCTGCATTTCACCACTGCCATTTAACACTGTACTAGAAAGTCAGAGCTATTAAATAAGAAATAAAAGCCACCCAAATTAGAATATGTGAAACTGTCTCAGTTCACTGATGACATGATCCTGTCCATAGGCTATCCCTAAGGGTACACTAGAAAGCTACCGAACAAATCTGGACATTGCAGGGCACAAGATCCCCGGAAAGATGTAACCATTTCTGTACCGCAGAAGTGAATGATCCAAACAGGAACTCAAGAAAGCAATTTTATTTGTAACAGCATCTAGAAGAAATATCTAAGGATAAGTTCAATCAAGGGGATAAAAGACTTGCCACTTAAATCCTACCAAAAAAACAAAATGTGGAAAGAAATGAAAGAAAACCTAAGTTAGTGGAGAGACGCCCCATGTGCTTGGACTGAAGATTTAGCAATACGAAGAGATGCCAGGACGCAGCCCTTCCCACAGGAATGGAACACCCAGTTCTCACAAGGAATTCAGTGGGCCCCCAAACATCAAAGCAGTCTTGAAAAAAGTTGCAGGAGTCATGGTGCCTGGTTTTTAAAAGTACTACAGAGCACAGCAATTAAAATAGAAAAGTACTGGCAAAAGGATAGATATATGGGCCATAGCATGAAATAAAGAAAGGAGAAATAAATCTTTGCACATTTGGTCAACCAATTTTCCACAAGGGCAGCATCGTCATCCAATGGGGAAATCGTGAGCATTCAATGAAGGGTACCGGGGAAACCAGACACCCCCAGAAGCAAGGATGAGATTGAACCCTTACCTCACACCATCAACAAAACTCGACTCAAAATGATAAAGCTTTCCACTGAAGAGCCAATTATAAAATTCTTAAAACATTAAAGAGAATGTTCATGATGCTGGATTTGCTGTGATTTCTTGGCTGACACCAAAATCACAGGCAAATAAAAGGGGAAAAAATACAGTGGTTCACTAAAATGCAGAACTTTTGTGCATCAAAGGACAATAAGAAAGGTCAGAAGATAACCCACTTGGGGGGAAATATTTGCAACTTGGACAGAAAATAGGGAACAGCAATAAAACCAAATTTAAAAATGGGCAAAGGAGGGCTGGCCAGATAGCTCAGCGGATTAAAGCACCTGCTTAGGCAGATGCAGGGACCAGGGTTTGATCCCCAGCATGCCGTGCTGGCCCTGCCCATGGGATGCGCTGAGATGTCAACTGAGACTGGGTGTGGTGACGCACACCTGTAATCCCAGTGCTGGGGAGGCTGAAAACAGGAGGATCACTATGAGTCTGATCTGTGTAGTGAGACCCTATAGACCCTGTACTAAATACAGAAATTGGGAGGCAAAGGAAAAAAGGAAGGGAACTTGAACAAACATCTCCCCAAAGAAGATATAAACACTTGAAAAATGAGAAGTATCACCAGGGAAATGCAAATTAAAACTCCAGTCAGATCCCACCTGACACTACCTAGAGTGGCTTTTAAAAAAACTCCACAACATAAACATGCTAGGCATGGTGGCACACACTGTAATGCCAGCACTTGTGAGGCTGAGGCGGGAGGGGAAACACAATGAGTTCAAGGCCAGCCTCATCTACATAGTGAGACCCTGTCTCAAAAAGTGGCTGAGGATGTGGACAAACTGCAACCTTGTGGATTGCTGTGCATACAATGAGACAGTGCCACTAGGATGACCCAGCAATTTCCCTGAGAAACTATGTGAAAGAAGTGACAAGGTTCCCAAAGATAATCTGCATGCCTGTGTTAATAGCTTATGCAAAGCAGCTAAAAGGTAGAACAGACTACAGAATATGCACATTCCCCATGAAACAGAATCGGGACATGTACGTGTTAACAGAGTTTGGGAGCTTCCACACCCCCATTTTGCAAGGCAAGCTGGAGACCCAGGCAACGCTTGTATTGCAGTGTCAGGCCAAGGCAAGATTCCTTTGATATATTTTGTTTATTTAACGTATTTGGTATTATCAAAACTGTCCTATTAATCAGCTGTGAAACTGTCTCATTCATATTTCTTTTTTTATTCATATTTCTGAATTTAAAAAAAATAAAAAAAAAAGGAAGTTAGAGCATAGTGCCAAGCACCATGCTGGAGTCAGGAATTCTGGAAGTAGACTCCTCTACACCTGGCCCTGCCTGGCTCCATGACTATATGGATGTTTTTGGACAAATGATTCCTCTAAACTCCAGAGCATTCATGAGTCAAGCCCTAAAGTTCCTGCTTCCCAGCCCCTGTCAGGATTGCAGTTTCCTTCACTCTGGAATTTAGATCTGGGAAGTGACTTGCTTTGGCCAATAAGATGTGACCAGAAGTGACCTGTGTCACTCCCTAGTGGATGTACTTAATTGATGACACTCAACTACAAACTTCCTGTTTCAGTGGTCATAGGACCGCAAATTACAGAAAAAGTCTTGTCACCCTCTGTGACTACATTAAGCTGTGACCTTTGTTCAACTATACTGGATATTTCACATGAATAAAAAAATCTGAATGGAAAAAAATTTAACATATTTGGTTGTTACAGGGTCTCACGATGCAGCCTGGACTTGTGGCGATCCTCTTGCGTTCACCCTCCCAGCGCTGGGATTGCAGTTGTGTGCCACGATGCCGGGACTCTGGCTGGCTCAGCCTGCCCTGCTGGCACGGCTAGCGCGGGATGTGGTGCGCGGGATTGAACCACGGTCCGTGCTTGCCAAGCTTGTAAGCAGCCCCCCTTTTTTTGGTTATTTATTTTTGGGGGGAAGGGTCTACAGGGTGTTCAGGGTCTCACTACTAGATTGGACTCGTAGTGATCCGCCCGTTTACAGCCTCCCAAGAACTGGGGTTACAGGCGTGCGCCACCACGCCCAGTCTCAATTGCCGTCTCAGCGCAAGCAGACATTTTAGACAGCTGAGCTACCTTGCTGGCCCCCTGATAAAGCACTTTTAACCAGCCACCACATTTGTATTAGGTTTTTTCGTACAGTTCTGTTACTACTTTTGACCTTTTTCCTTGGAAGCCCTTTTTGGTATTTCTGACCACTGATAGACTTTTGTGAAACTAAGGAATCTGGGATATTATTTCCACACCAAAATAACAGGCATCATAAAATGTAAAGTCGTGAGTTTATTGCATATGTAACAAAATGAACTTGACCCCCCCGGGTCCAGCCTGCTGTACAATCAGTTTGTTTTGTTTCCAGCTGGTTCCATAACCACATTAAATAGAACTAGTATTTAAATACTTTTGATTTTGACATAAATTGGAACATTAGTGTACAACTTTCACAAAATAAATCAGCAATAAAAACAGTGGGAAGAATAACAAGGATAGCAGCAATACTTAAAAACAAGACATTACAAAATAAATTAAAAATACATTATAAAGTGGTTGAGAAACAAAAATAAACTTTAAAAATCCATACTATGTTTCAGGAAGGCTGCTGTGCGGCACACACCTGGCTGCAGGTGGGGCAGGGTATGTTCTCTGCAGAGGACCGGTCCTGACATCTCCGAGTTGAGGCCCACCAAACCTGAATTTGGACCACATGGCTGAGCCAGCTTAGGGGTCAAAATCCACTCTAGTGGCATACTCTCCTTTCAGAGATCGAGGGTGCTCCTTCCTGTCACCCCGAGCCGCCCACGTGGCCGCCTCACTTTCCTACCCTAACGCTGCAGAATGGTGGTTTGCTACATCCCTGAGTGTCGGCTGTTGGCCGCTGGGAGGACGAGCCTGGAAAGTTGGGCCCTTGAAGGATCTGGGTGAGGAAAGACCACAGGATAGGGGTGGGGAGACCAACAAGATCACACATGGGACACCAGGAGCTTTTACTATGGACTTGCCAGGCAGCATCCCCTGGGGAGTCCAGAAGCCTCAGACCATTGTCAGTGGTTCAAGTTCTAGAAGTACAGCACCCTGACAGAAGCCAAGTGGAGAGAGCAGAGGGACACAACTCTGGGCAGGCCTGCAAACCAGGCCAGGTGGGCCCAAGCTACCACCTCTATCTTAGCTGAAGGGACACCCAACATAGGCCAGTGCATACAGCTGCTAAGGCCTGTCCTCTTATCCCTCCCAGCACAAGAAGGTAGTGTCTGAGGTGTTGTAGGCACCACTCCTGCTTCACAGTCTTGAACTGGCTTTCCTCCTCACCTCTGCAGGTCTGGGAGGGTGCCACCAGGAAATCTGGCAGTACTTCTGACCTGAAGAATTAGCTTGCTTCCCTCTGTAGCTGTCGTGTCTGCCTCCCATGGCTGGGGTCTGGTCACAGCAAATCTCCCAGGGGTCCGTACTTCTCAGTTCCTCAAACTTTAAGGGAGACTGTAAGGGAAGGCTGGATGGAGTCCTGGGGAGTGGATTTCTAGAACGCCCTCCAAAACATCCAGGTGAATGAGACACGGATAAGCCCTACTGGGGCAAGGCAAAAACTTGAGAGACTAAGGCCGCATGTTGGCCTGGACGTTCAATGGATTCAATTCTCCTGCAGCGAGGCGCACAGGATCCCTTCTGTCTGAGCACAGCAGGCAGAGTGCCACCGGACTCTACAGACCCGGGCCTAGTGGCTGCTGAGCTGGGCAAGCCTGGACCAGGCTTGGTGAGTCTAAGGTGAGCGTACCCCACACCACAGCAGACTGCTTCAGGGCAAGCACAAGAACTGCAGCCAGATGCAGAGGCCGAAGCCATCCTCCACGCTCCTGGGTCTCAGTAAAAGTAACAAAAGGAACAGATGAAATTCATCAAAAGGCCCTTCCTGATCCACCTCTGGCCACAGCAGGAGCCCAACACTGAACTCAAACTTCAACAGCAGTGAAATGTCTCGCTAATGAATACCCTGTACTTGCCCCCACCCCAAACTAAAACAGCAGCGACACCATACCAAAAAGTTTGTTGGCGCTACTATCTTCCACGGAAGCTTTAATGTCCCAAACCAAGCCACTCTGTGGAAATAAAACACTGTTAGAACTTTTGTGCAAACTGGAAATGGTGTTAGAAACACAGAGTTGGCTGGCTTTGGCCTCACTCAGCCTATGGAGACATCTGGGTAAGTGAATTGAGCTATTAATGTCACCATTGCCACCAGGCGAAGGGGCCAACTGGGTCCACGTGGAGTTGTCCCCACCCTATGCCACTGGTTTATATCCATACCCTGTTTGTGTACAGCGCTAACTCAGGTGGAGCCGGTCAGCAGGGCCACTGTCCCACTCTCTTTTCAGCTAGTAACAAAATTGGTTAGTTTAGCTCTTAGCAATTGCCACAACGAAGTCTGTTAACATTTCCAGAGCCAGTCAGTGCTCCTCCGCATACAGCAGCGCACCGGAGCCAGCACTGCACGGACTGGTTAGATCTGAGGCTGGTTTTGGTCTGTTATTTGCTTAGTTCCGTTATATGGTATTTTCGTCAGAAAGAATTTCAACTGGATAAAGGATGCAGCAAAGGAAAGACAGTTTTTCTTTGTGCAAATGAGTTTTTCAGCCAGGATATCTTGAAAAGAAATACCCGCGGCCTCCAATGAGAGCTGCCCCAATTCCTTTACTTCGCAAACGGGAAACACACTTTGACTCAGGCTTCCTGCTGTGGCACAGTTCCAATGAGCACACACTCTGTAGTCATTTTTTAGTTAGAAATTAATCTGCCATCCAGAACAGGCTGCTAGGACATAAGACTTGGAATCTGAACTCTGGTAAACTAACCAGCACCTGCTGAACTTGAAAAGGCGTGCTGAAGCTGTAGAGAGGGGACAGCTGGTGTAATGGTCGTGCAAACCCTCTGTGGGCCCAGCTCACTCCGAACCATGGTACAAGCTCCTATAAAGAGCACAAGGCCGTGAGCCTTTCCACCATGTGTGACCGAGGCCCAGGGCAGAAACTGGCTGTGTTTTATTGGATGGGTGATGGAGGGGATGGGAGAACTATAATAAAGGAGGGATAGATGGGTGGCAGCCACCTACTAAAGTCCCCGGCCCCCTCCTTCTGCCAAAGAAGGAGGGAAAAAAGCCTTTCGCTCAGGTTTTCTGGGATTCCGGGCCTCAGCCAGCTCTGCGCGAGGCACACGGAAGCTATATGCTTTTGGTTGGTGGTCACGAGTGAGATTCTGCGGCCGCGAGCTGCTCTTCACTCCACAGCAAAGCCACAAGTTTCCTCCACTGCAGTCAGCAGCTTCTCATAGAGCTTCTCGTAGGATTCATAAGGTGGGATGTCGATCCGGTTAAAGCTGGAAAGGACAAAGGACTCAGTCACTGCTGGGGACAAGTCCTTAGGTTGCCTGCCAGGGCACAGGCAGGCAGGAGACAGGCTGGCAGCACATACGGGGCACGAAATCTCATCACCTGCTTTGGGGATGGGATGCGGGTGGGGCAGTGAGTTTTCCACCTCTTGGTGTTTTACTGCTTCTAAGGCAAAGCTTTTTCAGTCGACCCACAGCAAATAAATCCCAAGACCTCCAAAACTGAACTATAAATTACTAATTAAGACTGTTTCTATGAAGACAAAGCTCATAATTTGATTTTTGTCTTTGGGAAGAATTATTTGTCCTTACCAGGAACACCCTTTGCTGACCCCTGGAATCTAGACTGGCCATCAGCCAGTCCTTGCTCCCTTGTCTGCTCCTTTGGGATTTGATCTGAGCCCCAAACGGGCAGTCTAAAAAATTCCCTGGAAAAGCACATTATAGCTCAAACCTTTTAATAAAGTGCCAAATCCCTGAAAGATGAAAGGAATGTTAAACTTCTAACTCCATACTTCCATGGGAAACTCATTTTGAGTATTTATCTAAGTAAATGACATCATTTAGAAAGCTGCTGTCTAAACACAGAACTGAGACCCAGAGGGCACGTGGCCCGTGAACTCCTGGGGCTCAATACTTAGGGATTGCACTAGCACTAAGCCATTGGGTTTGGTGGAGTGGTGCCCATTTTTCTGTTACTTCAATATCAGGGTACTTTTTATCCTCTCTTATATCAAGTATGGAACTATTAAAGGGCAGAAGCCTTCTGAGGAGGGTACTACCATGTATCAACATGACAGGCTCCTAGAAAAAGATGACACTAGCACACTGGGGCAGGGCTTCCCTGTTGCCCAAGAGTCCTGGGAACAGCTGCATCAGCCTGTTTCCCGGATGTTTGTTAGGCCTAATTAGAATGCTTAGCACCTTTCTCCAACCAAAGCCCATCAATGCAGGGTATGACGGCAGCACCCGCAGCCCACCCAGGTCAGCGTCCCAGCAAGGTTTGCAGCCTGTGTCCTGACCAAGAGGCCAGTGATCCCGAGTCAAAGTCTATGTCTGCACAAGACGCTCAAACCACTGCTCACATTCATTTTTAAGCTAAAATTTTGGAAGACATTTTTCAAAAGGAGCCATCTCACTCTGTAGACCCTGTACTAAATAGGTTATTTTTTTAAAAAAAGCCATCTCATATGCAGATTCAAGGAGAAAAACAGGGACAAAGAAATGTTAAAGTGAGGACCAATAAATCCAAATTACAATCTACAGTTCTGCCTGGTGCTAAGTGAACACATGCACAGAGATTTATGGAGCCCAGCAAGGAGGAAGACGTGGGCTTGCGCAGTAGTGGCCATCAGTGTCGTCACCAGAACATCAGCACTGATCAACTGCATGCTCGCAACATATCAATTTTCTAAGTCTTCTGACAACCCTCGCACAATGTCCCATTGAGACAAATGCTCTTGTTGGCACCATCTGAAGCCCTGCGTAAACGAAACACAGTCCTACAAAGAAAACAGCTGAAAGGAGACAGACCAGTGCTCTGGCCCCCCTCCCAGACCCAGTGCCACCCACCAGCAGCTCTTACCAGGTATGTGCCTTGGGCAAGTTGTCTGTGTTTGCGTCTATCAGGTGGATGGTGAAGAGCCGGGGCCCTGCCGCGCCTGTAGAACCTTGCAAGACAATATTCTAGTCAATGTACCTCAGAGGCAGAGCCCCAAGGCCAGGCACAGTGCTCTGCTAGAGGGGTGTGCACAGCTGCAGTGGCACTCACTATAGAAATGCAACATTTCAGAGGACTCAGGCCGAAGAGGCTTCTGGGAAGGGCCCCACACAGCTCTGACTGAGCAGCTTCAAGGGTGTCTTCAAACAGAGGGCTCACCAACCCCTACGTCTTTCATTGCTCAGGTCTTTCTCAACCTCAAGTGGCACCATGCTGGCCACTACTGGCCACAGCTGCTGCCATAAACATGGAGCCAACCCTAGGACACCTGCCTGCAAACTGATGTCCTTTTGGACAAAACTGTAGAGTTCACTGGGCTCCATTTTGGCGGCATTTGCTCCCGTGTGGTCACTGGCTCCTTCCAGCGGCACAACGGCTGGCAGTGGCCCCCTCAGCCACAGCGCGAGCCTGGGCAGCTCTGGTGCCTCCTGGGTCTGCCTCCTGAGCAGCTAGCTGTGCTGGACTCTGCATCCCCACAGCGCGTGGTGCTCACATTCTCCCCTCATAGCATCAGGCACTCTGTCCTAAATGAGGGCCCTGTCGTGGCCCCAGGTCACCTGTGCCGTGTCTGGGCTGCCCTCTCTTGTACATACAATAGGGACATGGCTCCCGATTCTATCTGATTAGAGAGGATATGGAAGATCTTCATAGCAACAGAGAACTTTGTTCTTTGTTTTTGGCGGAACCGGGGATTGAACTCAGGCCCTTGCGCTTGCAAGGCAAGCACTTATCCTACTGAGCCATACCCCTGGTCCCTATAGAGAACTCTGCAAATAGGCCTGCTGGTGGCTCATCGATGAAACAAGAAAATAAAGCCTGGGGTCACAGTATCATCAGAATTCTGCCCCTACCACCTCACTATTTCCTTGAAGGGAAAAATAAATTTTAGGACCTCAGGGGGGTCTTGGTTTGTTCACCTGAAAGCCTGCTCAGCTCATTCTGTAGGTCTTGGGAGAAGGAGGCCGTGTGACCACCATGCTGGGTGAGCAGGCTGAGACCCCAGGGCTCTGGCTGGAACCCTCTACACTGGCCCTGGGCCCTGCAGAACTCTACAGGCAGACACCACCACAGTCCCCTTCCCTTGGGGGTTCTCAAAAGTCCTTGTGACTATTCTGTACTTCTACCAAATCTTCAGCCACAGGCTGTGGCTACTACAGGCAGCTCCCTTCATTTTTTTTTCCCGGAGGGGGGTGCTGGACCCTCTGCAGACAAAGACCACCAGGGCCTTACCAGACATCCCAGTGGCCCCTGTCAGTCCAAGTGTCCACACTTTTTGAAAGTGGTAAGGACACTGGAATCATGTGCTCTGGAGTGACTCTCCTGTGGGAACACTGCGCTCAGTGGGGAGCTGCCACCCACCTGGCATGTGGCTCCACAGTGCTGAGCCTCCGCTCTAAGAGAGGAGTGCCACACTGTGTGCCAGTGCACATCTCAACCCTCATCAAACACTCAGCTTCTCCCTCCCACAGCCTAATCAGAACACACAGTGTGGCACACTTGGGGACCAGCCCTGCCACCACGTCAGTCACCTTGTAGAGCCTTAAATCCTTGGAGAGGGACTCGTGTAGAGCCGGTCACAAACTGCAGGAGCCTGGCTCTCCTCTCTTCATCGAAGGTTTCGACTGCCTGCCAGAACCACCTGACGACATTGCTGTCTGCCACGCAGTGCTTCAGCCGTGTGTTCGACTTCCAGTCGTCCAAGTCGATCTTGTCCAGGCCGCCTATTATTAACTGAGAAGGCACGAGAGGAGCATCACCAAAAGGCAATAAGCCACTGTGTGACACACAGGAGTTAAGACTTTGTGCCCAAAGCCAGGAGGAAGCTTTGTCCAAATCCACCCAACGGATGCTTGGATGGGAAGAAACTGCACAGAAAGGGGCCCAAACCTATGTGCAGTCTTTCGCTGGTGGCATTCAGCTCCAAGGACTGCAGCATGCGGCTACAGGCACAGCACCATCTTGGAACCAAAGCTCTGCTTCTGCTGTGCACTGCTGAGGGGTGAACATCCAAGGACCAACCACAAGATGAGCAGAGGGGACTGTAACTAAGGCCACATCAAGGCACCCTTCCAGAACACACAGGGAGAGCACCGTGTGAAGGGATGAGACCCTGGCAAGTTATGCACAGCCTGGGTACACAGGCCATATTTCCCTACTTGTCTAAAGAGCTCAACTGGGTGGAATGCACACCTGCAATCCCATCACTCTGGGAGGCGAAAGCAGAAGGAGTAAAAGTTTAAGCCTAGGCTGGGCTACTTAACAAGACTTGTCTCTACAACATAACAGGACTGGAGATGCAGCTCGGTGCGAAGGCCCTGGGTTCAATCCCCAGTATTGGGAGTGGGGGTCGCTTTACAACAAACAACCTCCCACCCATGTGCTCCAAGTTCGAGGCATCTATGTGGCAACTGGAAGGCGTGGATGGGCCTCTGTGCACCAGGCTGACCAACAACCCTGTGCCCAAACCCATGAAATATGGTCAGAGGAGACTAACACTTGGTCCTCAGTCTATTGGTAGCCAAAATAAGCAGGCAGACCCGGGGCATACATGAAGACTAAGCCACAAACCCCTGAAGTGGTTTCCTGCTGCCAAGGGGACACCTCACCAGCTGACAAGGCAGCACAGACACCCTGGGCTCCCCTCTGCCCAAGCCCCAACTCTACCCTTCTGGGACAAAGCTGAGCTTCAGGTAGCACTGGTGGCCTTGTGCCAAGCACCTACCTCTAGCTCCTTCTGGTCAAAAGGCTTCAGTAAATGCTGAGGGATGAGTTCATTAAACCCCTTCTGAAGCGCTAAGAACTGGGCTTCAATTCCTCTCATAAACCTCCAGTTTACATACAACCTGAAAGAAAAGGCTGTGTGTTGGAAACAATACCAAATGGGGCACAGAGACACTGCCTGCCTCCAGCAGCAGCTGGGTTCAGCTGTGCAGTCAGCCCCCTCCCCTCTAAGACAGACAGACACAAACCCTACTGGCTGAAGTACCTGTCTTAATAAAACCAAACAAAACCAAAGCAAAAAACCCTAGCATGTTCCCCTATATATTCTGACTTTTTATTGATATGAGCAGTAGGATTTAACTTGGCCTGCTAGATCAAGCACTATAATTTAGAGGTACATTTGGAAGTGAAATAAGGGCAGTATGAGAACCATGCGTCAGCCTGAGTGCACACAGGCCCACATTTCTGAATCTCCAATGCAAGTGACTGGTTTCCTCGGCTAGTCTGCCTCAAGCGAGGACGCCTGGGGACTGGCAGGGAAGCCTGCAGCGCTCGCTGGGCTCGGCCCCCAGTGTGGCCACGTGGAGTGCTTCCTGGCTTGGGCTATCAGAGCTGCACCCCAGGAAGGTGCCAAGCCTGACTCTCAAAAGTTGCCCCTATTGGCATGATTCCAGTTGTGTCTTTAGGGACAGGTGAGCCTCATGCAGGGAGTGACACCAGTCTAGACATGCACCTGCTGCACCCAGGCCACCCCAAAGTATACCCTAGATGTTACCGGACATATTCCTTCTTATTCTCTTCAGTGACAGGCACGTTTCTGCCATTGGGTTTCAGCTCATGCTGAAGAATCCTCCCAAAAGCGTTGTGCTCAACACAGAATGTGTGATCCAGCACTGGAGTGATGTCATTCTCTCTGCCGAAGAAGACAGAAACATGTCTCCATTACACCTGGGCCACTGCCCAGTCCAGAGCAAAGGGACAGAGGTGAAAGCTCTGTGAACCGGAGCCAGGCAGGGCCCAGAGTGTTGGTGCTGAATGAGGCGGAAGGCACGGCTGTAGTTCCTGCGTCCCCAACTGCATAGGAAGCCACCACATTGCTCCACCATGCTCTGATTTTATGAGGCACGAGACCTAACTGCTTTCTGCCCCGAGTCTGGGTGAGAAGGGAGAGTAGAGATGGCTGGGTCCAAGGAACTGCCACTCTCAAGAGAGTTTATGATAAAGGCACTAAATACTCATTTTGCTTCAATGCTTTCTCGGCCCCTCTACAGATTAATGAGACACTGTGGAGTGTCTTTCTTCCCCTCCCACACACCGAAGGCTGGGACTAGCTCTGACATTTGTAATCAGACCATAATAACTCACAAACATAATAAAAGAAACTAGCCCATGGGGAGAAACTGGCCAAATGTCATGAGAAGGATAAGTCATTTTAATAATTTAGTTAAGGGGCCGTGGAGATGGCTCAGTAGAATAAGCACTTACCCAGCAAGCAAAAGGGCCTGAGTTCAATCCCCGGTTCCAACCAAAAAAAAAATTTAGTTAATAAACCTGTGGTTTCTCACAGTACAACAGTTTCCTTATTTCCCTTGCCCAGTTTCACACTCCCCCCAAATACACACATCACAGCACACACAGACTCAGCCTCCAAGCCTGGTACAACTCCTCAGGTAGCTGCATGAGTCGATACTTACAGAATCCACACCAGGCTCTTATGCAGTTCAGGGTCCACTGACTCAAGGTCAGAAAGCTGGATGGGCTTCCCTAGAAGCTGCTTGTAGAAAGGAACTGTGAAGCCCCCGTTTATATAGTGTCCATGGAACACAGCCAAACCCATGATCCGACCCACAAAGTGGAAATAAGACAGATGGTCCTGTAGGGGGCAGCAGAGATCATGAATTGGTTAGGAAACCAGCAGCTAAGGTGCTGCTTGGCTTCCTGCAAGGCTGTGCTGGGAGGCGCCAGCACTGACTCACAGTTGCTTCCAGGCTATGCTGATGGCCTGCTGGAATCAGGCCACTTAGGGAGCTTGAGATTTGGAGAATGTCTTTCATGTGGATTAGCATGATGTTTTATTTGTTCAGGCTGAACACTCCAGAATTGCCACATTATTTGCAGGGGTCCAGGGGCAAAAGGAAACTGCAGAGACCCGTTTCAGAAACAATTTCAACATGGTGACAGCTGAGAATCAAGCCTAGCACAGGCCCAGGGCACAAAGCCTGGCTTTCCATTCTGTTCAAAAGGAAAGAGCCACAGGCAATCCCCCTTGGTCCTCTGCTAGACAGCCTGTCTGCTGCTGGGGCACAGAGGAAAGTAAGTATGAATGAGCCAAGTGAAAAAGTAAAAGGACGCTGGGAGTGTGGCTCCACGGAGAGTATTTGTCTAGCATCCATGACCACAAAAAATAAGAGCCACAGAATCATTCTAAAACCAGGGCTGAGCTGTTCTCATCTTTAACTAGGAAACCTGACGTTTCTAATTTCAGGTTTGAATTACAAATCAGCTCATAAAAATTTGTCAAAACTCCACTTCCAAGGTAACTGAAGCCTCTTCCACATTTGAATGTTCCCTGACTTCACCTTGGTGGCCTTGTGACTGAGCTTCCAAAGGACACGGCCCACAGCACCCATGGCTCAGCCTGTGCTGTAAGCACTGCGCGCGCTAAGTGTCAGCTTGTGCGGCTACAAGTGCTCATGATGGAAATGCGCTGCCCTTGCCCGAAAGCTAGGCTTTGTAATCCTCAGAATGAAAATCTCAGCGAGCACAGCCACCAGGCCACAAGGCACACGGCAGGGAGGCAGCCTCGTACGTGAGCAGCTCCATTTTCCTGTCCTCTGCTTGCACATACTCCTCCCTGGGGTCTGCACTTGACTGTGGTCTCTGGATCTACACCGACTAAACCAAAATCCAGGACTGACACTGAAAACACACCTTGAAAACTCCCAACTGAGCCCCCAGCCATCTTCTGCATACTTACAGGGTTAATTGAAGAGTCTGGGTTGATTTGCAACATGTAAATGTTGTCTGTGGAGTACTGGAAGAGTCCATAATATGGATTCAACATTTCATGGCATAACAAATAAAGCCACTCCCTAGGAACAATGACAACAAAGCTCGTATGTGCTAAGAGTTCTGTGCCTAGATTTTTGCAAAAGGACCATTTTTCTCTTGCCCTGTGAGGCCAAAAACAATCGACAGGAAAGGAGGACAGGCAGGACGTCTGCTCCGGAGGGTGCGAGGCATACCAATGGGACCAACAGCCAGGGAAATAGTGTCCAGAGCACCCAGAAGAGCTCAAGAACACCCAACTGGCACCCTTCACCACAGAGTGACCGCAGCCCCCACAACCCTGCAGCTAAGGAAAACTGACAAGTGACCTGTACTCTCTGCAGCCCACTTGCTAGTCCTGCTGCCTCTCACCTGAGGTTGCCTCAACACTTGGCAAAGGCCAAAACCTCAGGGGTCACACGTGTGGCTGAGGCGGTATTAACTGACGGAAGTGCCTCCTCCTGAACGACAGGCAACTTCACAATTAGGACTCTGGGTCACTTTCATGCTTCCTTTCACTTATTCTGGTTTCAAGATTTTCTGAAATAAAATGTTTCATTATGAAGAACATACTTCACACTCCAGAGAAGCAGAGAAGGGACTGCTGAACAATTACTTTTTACCTTAATAATTTTCTTTTCAACTGTTATTTTTTCCTACACACATTTATAACTTTCATAATTTAAAAAACTAGTTTAAGGCATGGTGTTGAATGCTTGAAATCCCACGCATTCTAGAAGGCTACACAGGAGGATCTGAACTTGAAGCCTAGCTGTGACATTTTAGCAAGATTCTGTCTAAAATTAAAAAAAACAAAAACCCTAAAAACAATTGAGGATGTAGTACAGTGTCAAAGTTCATGGTTCAACACCCAGCACAACAAAACAAAAACAAATAAAAACATAAAACTAGGGCCAGGGAGATGGCTCAGTGGAATAAGCACTTCCCTGGCAAGTGCAAGGGCCTGAGTTCAATCCCCAGTTCTGGGGTGGTGGGGGGGGGGGAAACTAGTTCAAAATTTTAAATAGAAATTCTAAGAGTTTCTAATTCTGGATGGGATACAAGTATAATTACATGACTTTATGAATTCCTTCAATATTTATGTCATTTTATTATTTCCTTAAAAACTTTAAAATATAAATCAGCCAAACAAACAAACAAAAAGCACTTGAAACAGAAACTGTGCTGGACGTGGTGGCACACCTGTAATCCCAGCACCTGGGAGGCTGAGGCAGGAGGATTGCTGTGAATTTGAGATCAGGATAGAATATAAGCGGGCAGAAAGAGGCAGAAAGAAAGCCAGCTCTGATGGGGCTGCCTCCTGCCCTTGTTTCTCTGATGGTCTAACTAAAAAATGGCATAGGCTGTCGCACCCTGACTTCCTAAGACTGGGCCACAACTACAACAAGTGGTCAGAGGACCCCAGGCTCCCCCGCAGCACTGGCTGGAGTTGTAGGTTTAAATTTACTTTACATAGTTCTTTCATCCATACCTGACCTCATCAGATTGAGAAGTCTTTTGCCTGAGGAAGGAGGGCATGGAGCAGAGAACATGTTGTTTGGCTAGCATATTTCTAGGACCTTATAATAGTAGTTTGTTTTGTTGTGGTACTAGGGATTGAACCCGGCCTCCCTAGCCCATAGGGTTGCTTTATTTTATTTTATTTTATTTTTTTTGAGTCAGTGTCTCACTAAGCTTCACTGGCTGGGGTTGAACTCGTGATCCTCCTGCCTCACCACCCAGGTGTGTGCTACCATGCCCAGCTGATCTGGTAGTGCTGACAGTTAGTGAGTAAATGCAATTCCTTCAGGAGCATGCAAGTTACAGGGGCACTCTTGTAAGAACTCAATCATGTGACAGATACATTAGTTTATCTCAGTTCTTTCATTTTTTATTTTCCTAACAGGGTCTCGCTATGTAGCCCAAGCTGTCCTTGAACTCACAGTGATTCTCCTGCCTCAGCCCCACAAGTGCTGGGATAACAGGCATGTGACACCACCCTGGCTGTACTTTCATTTTCTATTTTATTACAATGGAATTCAATAAATGAGTACATTATGGTGACTGAAAAAAACAAAACTAAAAGAATTTTCAAAACACTGGAAATCTTGAAGAAAGTAGGGAAAGAAGAAAAAGAGAAAAGAGACAATAAAGTACAAGAGAGAAACACACACAGAGGAGCCAATATTGGAGTCACAGTAATTTCAGAAACCAAAGTAAGACGCAGAGAGGAAACAGGCAGAAAAACTCCTTCTTTCAGCAGACACTATGAAGATTGTACTCAGTGTGTACGTGGTGCTGTTCTAGGAGCTACGGGTATGAGCAAAACAAACTGCTTGCTCACGGAAGCAATTTGTGTCTGATGGAAGAGATGCAGACAAAAGAAGGAAGCCACACAAGACAGCCCATACACAGTGGAGTAATTCAGAAAGAGGGAGCTGAGGACCCACAACACTGTGGATCAGACCAGCATTGGCTCCCACAACCACTGGGTGGAAGAAGGGCTGGAGAATCCCTGGAGGACAAAGGCTCCACCAAGGAGCCATGTACTGGGAAGGCATGGGGGGTGGGGTGGAGGATTATCAAAAGATTCAGTGCAGCTGGGCATGGTGGCACGTTACTCTAGTCTTGGCACCTGGGAGGCTGAGGCAGGGGGACACAAGTCTGAGCCCAGTCTAGGCAATTTAGCAATGTCATTTATTCTGTTTTTTTTAATTATTTGCTTAAGCTATACTGATCAACTTTCAGAATGGTATTTGACAAAATTTCTTAGATACAAATACAATTACATGGCCTCCGTCCCTTCCTGGCTGGAGATCCTATGATAGGAAAGGCCAGGCCCTTCCTATTTGCTTCAGGAGCTGGTCTTGTGTGTTGCAAGTTCAGGCATGTGAGATGAAGAAGAGGTGAATTTTTTTCTTGTTGCTTTAAACGTTTAAAACAAATTTTTTAGAAAATGTATTTGGTACAGGGTCTTGCTATGTAGCTCAGACTCATAGTGATCCTCCTGTTGCAGCCTTCCAGAGCTGGGATTACAGGCATACAGCCAGCATGGTATGTGGTACTGGGAACTGAACCCAGACAGAGCAACGTGCACTGCCTTGCACTTGCCAGGCAGGGGCTCAGACTACCAAGCTATTCCCCCAGCCTGAAGAGGTGAGTTAAGTTACTTAGTTTCTTTTTTAATTTTTTATGGTCAGCTCAACCCACCCTGGGGACGGGGCTGCCGCGGCCTGTGGTGCCAGGGATCAAACTGCAATTCCTGCGTATTTGCCTAAGCTTGCCTAAGCAGGTGCTCTGAGTTTTAAAGTTTAATTCTAGCTACAAAAAATGAACACAGCTGAGCATGGTGGCACATACCCATGATCCCAGCCCTCTGGGAGGATGAGGTAGAACTGCAACCTTGAGCCTAGCTGGGTAATTTAGAGAGATCCTCTCTCAATAGGTGGGTCCCTCAGTGTGAAGGTCCTGGGTTCACTCTCTCTCTCTCTCTTTTTTTTTTTTTTTTGCGGAACCGGGGATTGAACTCAGGCCCTTGCGCTTGCCAGACAAGCGCTTATTCTACTGAGCTATCTCCCCAGCTCTGGGTTCACTATCAAGTATCAGAGAAAAAAATAAAAAAGGAAAAGCACAGTGATAGTCACTGTCATGTTCATGGGTTACAGCGAGATGCAAGCCAAAGCCGGGGCATGGCATCCTGCATGACATCCTCACTGCCCAAAGTGACGCTGCAAGGAGAGCATCATTTAGGAAGCAAGGGGCACACGATGCCCTCTGCAGACAGCCACAGCCATGCCCACCCACACAGCACAGAGGGGAAATGGCTCACCGCGCCACGCCACCATAGTCCAGGCCCTCCTCTCCTCGGAATTTCACCATCAGCCGCTTCTTCAGGTCTTTGGGTCGCATCTTCATGATCTGACGGTAAGACTCCTACATATCAAAATGATACAGAGAGAAGGGTGTTTCTTAATTTACAAAGAAAGGCTACAGACAAAAGACTAATTAAAAATATACACTCATTCAAATGCAAATTGCATCAGGTTTCCTCCCCAGCTTGATCCTTTCATCTAGTACATTTTCCCCCTATTAACTTCCCCTTCAGAGATGACAGCAAGACAGGAGCAATCTAGGTCATACTACTCTGAAAGGAAACACATAAATACATGTTCAGCACCAGCACTAAGGACTTACAGACAAATGTCCTCATTACAGTTGATTTTCTCTATAAAAATTAACTTTAATATGCCCCGTAAACAATTTTCTAACCAAAATGAAGACATCATTAAACTGGGTGTTTCAAGAATTTTGAGCCTGTGTCACTAGCTAAACTGAAAAATCACACCTGATTTCCCACTGAGTCAAAAAGCAAGAGAGAGTCTAAGTGAGACGTCAAGCAGCTTGGGCAAAGCACAGGAAACAGATGCCAGTCTGGCATTCCCTGAGACTCAGCATTCCAGGTGGGAGCGGCCATGTGTAGTTCTTTTCAGTGACAGGACACTCAAGAATCTTTTCATGCTTCAAAACTCTCCCATTCCAGGAGGGAACAGGGACACTAGTGGAACTGGTCTGGGAGCAACAGTTTAAGTCTTCTCCAACTCTTCCAATTATTAAAGATGACTTCATGGATGAAACTAGGTGCTGCAGACACCCTGCCGTTCAGCACTACTGTGCCCACCAGGCTGGGGTTGCTCTGTCTGTGCCCTTCTGTGGAGAAGGGGTTTGGCACCCTGGGTGGTGGCCTTGCTCTCTAGAACCACCCTCAGGTGCCAAAGCTATATGCTTCCTAGGGAAACCTTTAGTACTATTTTTTTTACCCTCCAGGTATACAAGACCCAGGGCTGAGCAACATCCTCAACACATATTTTTTACTTTTGAGATAGTATCTTGCTAAGTCAATAACTTGCCCAAGCTGAGCTTAAACCTGAAATCCCCCTGGTCAGCTTCCCAAAGTGCTGGGATTATACATACGGGCCACCACACTCAGCCTCATTTGGCACCTTCTGTAGATGCCTCTATATGAGAGGGTGGGAGGTGGCCCAAAGACCTCTGAGCTGTCACCTGGCCATCTTCCTTTAGCAAAGGGTCCACTATGTAGAGACCCTGATCCTGTAGCACTGCTACATGGATCTGCCTTCCTTGCTCCCAGCAGAGACCATAAATCAGACAGCCTCTGGCTTCTCTGCGAAGGAAATGCCTTTGATGGAATTCCATGTAGATGTCTCCTTTGACCCCCAAAGGAGGCGGGGGGGGTGGTGGACGGGTGGACACAGGTTTAAGGACTATGCAATCTGCACAAGGCAGAGAGTACCATTTCCTGCCCAAATCTTTAGGTTTTCACTTTAGACAGTGTCTAGTTTTTAAGGTATTTTTTTTGGGGGGGGGGCAGAACTGGGGTGTCTAGTTTTCAAACTATTGGCATAAGAGGAAATACAGTTCCTTGTCTCTACCTGGGGCTTCACCCTGACAAACCTGCAATCTCTTAGAGCCATTAAGCCCACACCCAAAATACCCATTAAAGCCTGCAGCAGACAGAGCTCACCAGAGAAGGAAACACCACAGGGGCAGGGTACTTAACAGAGGAGTCCATAGTCACCCCAGCTGTTTATCCTCAGTGCTGAAGAGTCTAGGCCCAAATGACATATTTATACCTCAAATATTTCTTCTCTGGAAACCTCAATGCGGCAATGCCCAGCCTGGGGTTGCTGAAGTGACAGTTCATGTCTGAGGACTTTGAGTTTCTGGACCAAATCTCTCTCATATCTCTGGGCAGGAAGCTCTTCATCTTCCACTGAGCCTTCACTGGGCAGAGGCAGCGGCTGGCTGGGCTCCTTGAGCTGGCACTGGTGACTAGTGAAAGGAGAAACAGCCAAGTCACTCTGCAAGCACAGGCCAAGGAGCTGCAGGCAGAGCCTGCTTCCAACAGAGGCTCAGCAGAGTGCTCAGTCCCTGCCGCTGTAACTGCACCTAGACAGGTAACAATTATCGATGGAAGCCATCAACCTAGATATCAGTCTAGGGTACTGTAGGAAAGCTCCAATTCCAAGCAACCGCCTGTCTCATACATTATTATTACAAAAGCTGCTATCATTTACTGAGCATCTATTACACACTGATGAGACTGAACCACATACTATGAGATGTGCCTTGGTGGGTACAATAAAATGGGGTTGACAGAAAATCTTTTTTCCATAGTGGAAGGAGGTGATATATTATAGCCAACACCACAAGTGAAATCTGGGGGTGACCATTTCTTGTTTTGGTCACCACAGTACTCCTAAGCCCATTCACTGAATGCAAAGTATCAGTACAATAAAAGGACTAGGACCAGTACAAAGACAAAGTGGCATTTGCTTTGTCCCAGTTTGCCACTAATATCAGCTACCACTTAGAATAGTTGTATGAGATGTTTTGACCTGAGAACACAACAAACCAAGAACATGGGTCATAGGACTGAAGATCATTCCCATTCTGGGCCACTAAGGAATGACAATGGTAGAGGGCACCAGCAGGCCCCTCTAGACCCAGCAGTGCTCACAGGCAAAGCCACATGTCTTTACACTGCTGCATGCAGAAGCCTCATTAATGAAGCCGCTTCATACTGTCATCTGGGTGACTTTAATTTACGCTGCAAGTACAGAAAAGGGCAGCAACAATATCCAGCCTCAGTAATGTTCACATTAAGAGTTTAGAACATGTAACTGTCTGCTAAATATGTAGTTTGTTTTGCTCGTGCTTACTATCCAATACACAAGGCAACAAATGAAGTAGGAAAATAGTAATACAAGAAAACATTGAGGGAAAAAATCAAGTGGAAGAGGTCAACAAAGATTTTTTTCAAAGTCTTACTTCATGATATGATGTAATCTTGGGTCTGTAAACTGGGTAGTTCGGTTATTATGGTCTACAAAATATATTCTCCCAGAAACTGTACTTCGGACTTCCCAACCTGGTGGCAGTGGTCCAAGTTCATCACAGTTCACGCTGTTAAGGTCTCTACCAAAATGGAAAATATACAGAAGCTTATCCATCTGAGTTTGGAGGAATAGAATCGATACCTCAGAGTCACAGGGGTCTCTATCAAGGTGTCTATGTCCCCATTCTGCTGAGAGGGACAGTCAGGATGTTACACCAAATACCACTGAGGTCAGGCCTCATGCTACAAATGGCAGCAACACCTGATAGACCCTAATGGCATTTCCTGAGCTGATAACCATCCGAAGCACAAGGCCTACTCTTAAACATCTTTTATAAGAAAGAGGGTGGGATAGGGTAAGCATTTGAACGTGGGGAGAGCTATCAGAATTCACAAGTCAAATTAAACTCTCAAAGTCAGAATGGTTTCTTTAGTGCAAAGTTCCCAGACAGCCCCAGGTGTTCAAGGCTAAGGGGGACGCATAACACGCATTCGAACACTCGCCATTCTGAACAGTTGCAGCAGGATGAGGCCTTCCCTTCATCAGGCTGGCTTTAGCTAAGCAAGTGTTTTGCTTCTGGATTTTTGATTAATTACTTAAATACAGCATCACTGACCAGGATGCTTTCATAAATATCACAAAAGCTTTTCATTCCTCACAGTGGGTACTACAGAGACACCTCATTCATTTGCAGGTAATGTTTCAATTCTAACTGTAGATACTGAATCATAAATTCAATATAGACGTGGAAAATCAAACACAGGAAGCTTATTCTCAAGTGAAACAAATTATGAATAAAAGGAAATGAGCATTACTAAAAATCTTATTAGGTAGTAATGCTTTTTTTTTTTTTTTTTAAAGAAAAAAAAAGAAAGCAAAGCAAAGCAAAGGAAAAAAAGAAACTTAATTGTGTTATGGGGGAGGGCAGGGGTCTCTCTGACCTGGGCTCAGATGTATGGCCTTGTAGAAGGAATTCGTATAGAAAAGCTTCATCTCCCCCCGGAATGGTCCCCAAGGGACTGAGGCAAGAGGGACAGTAAAGTAGAAGAGAGAAAGGGTAACAGAGTCTTTATATTTCCTTTTTAACTTATTATTATGGAAAATTTTAAGCATATAAAAAAATAGAGAGACACCACAGTGAGTTGCTCCATAACCAGCTCTGCTTGTGGTCAGTCCTATGTTGAACACATCCCACTCGCCCCCCTCCACTGCTCTGAAGCACAACCCAGACTATGCCTCATTGCCTTCACCAGTACTTGTAGTTTAAACTGGGAGCAACACACCTGGAAGGGGCTGGCTTTTCATGCCAATTGCTAGAGATCAGCTTTGAGAATATTTCAGAAATATACCTGGGTATCCGGGGGTCATGCCACGTGCTCACTCCAGTCTGTGTGTGCAAAAAGTAAACTTGCCCCTGTACTGTTGTTCTCTGTTCTGCATAAGAAATTAGGGGATACAGTTAGATAAACTCAATGGCATGGGGAGTTTCAACCAGTCTTCTAGGGATCGTTCCATAGATTCCACACTTCCCTTTCAACATCAACTTGAACACCAACACCACCCCTCTGAAAGAGCTGGGATTACACCTTTCAACACACTTAGTTACTGAGAGAAGGGCTGGAAAGTGCTGCCCTTGCCTGGCTTTCGCAAGAACAGCCCTGCCTATTTGGGCAGAGCTCACTTTGTGCCTTTTCTGAACTGGAAGAGACACCTATGAGCTGCCCAGCACCTCAAGATCCACCTGACTTACCTCTCTGCTATCCTGACTGCTCTCACTTTGGGACTATCTGCCTATCTAAATTACATTTCCCTCCACTCTGCTCCTCTCTCTGCAGTGGTCAAGTGGCCCCTGCTTGGTGCCCCAGCTCCTTGCTGTCTCTCCCACATTCAAGTGACACACCACTGTATATTCCCTTACCCTACTTACTTTTCACCTGGGTTCTCTTTGGTGTTAAAGTGCCTAAAATTAATTTTTATACAATTTCTAAGCTGAGAAGTTCAAGTGCTGCTGAGGATTCATAATTAGCCAGACTTGTCAGCACCTCTCCCAGGCTCTTGTACTTACACAGCCACTAGCAGTGAAAGCAGGTTCAAGTGATTACGCAGCATTTACCAACCCAGAGCTCCCAGAAACTGTGCTGCTCACCATAGCCTTCAGGCAGCTCCGGAGACTGGTGGCCATGTGGCCGGTTCTGGGGTGTCTGCAGTGAACCTCGGACCTCAGAGTTCCGAAGTCGCTGTGCCTGGAGTCTCTGATCTTGACTTGGGGACTCTACAAACCTGCAGTTGCCCCCACCTGCAGCAGCGCCAGTGCCATCTGTGTAAGGGGCAGGCTCCTCCATGAAGCAGCTAAGCGGCCTCCCAGGCCCCAGGTCTTCATACACGGATCTGCAGGAGCAGGGGTGAAGACAGTGAGGGAGGGAGCTGCAGGACACGTGCCTGGAGCTTCACAGCACTGCCCACCCTTGTGCTGCTGCCACCTGTGTCTGCTGTAATTTAACAAGTCAAGTGTCCTAGTGCTTAGTTTTAAAAAATTCATCTTATGACAATTAAAGAGAGACTTTTAAGAGGAATAGTTAGTCAAAGACAGCCATGTTTTTAATGCTGTTTTAGGTGTGTCATGGCCAGGGCCACCCGAATGGTATCACTGTTGGTTAGAAATGGAAGGCCCAGTGGGCTGGGGAGATAGCTTGGTGGTACAAGTGCCTGCCTGGCAAGCACAAGGACCCAGGTTTGATGCATGGCATGCAGGACTGGTATGCTATGCCTGGCCACTGAAACCAGGTATAGTGGCGCATGTCTATAATCCCAGCTCTGGGGAGGCTGAGACAGGAGGATCACTATGAGTCCAAGCTGTGCAGGGAGACCCTGTACCGAATAAATAAAAAAAGATTAAAAGAAAAGAAATGGAAGACTCAATTATGCACTAGAAGGAGTGCATGGGATGTGATCTCATTTCTCTTGATTTAAATCAATCTCATTTCTCTTGATTTTAAATTAAGTCCATTTTGCTTGTTATTTTACACGACAGAATTCCTAGTTGTATAACATGCCACACTACACTAAGTACTTTTTAACATAAATCTTTACTACTTGAGCAAATTTGAAGATAATTTACTTTAGTAGCTACTTTCCTTTATGAGGGAATTTCCAACACATTCACAAGCTCAGCACTGGAGCAATGACTCCCCCTTGCCTGCTACGCAGCTCCCACACTGTCACCTGGCCGCTCTCTTTCCCTCCATTGGGCTGCTCTGAAACTTAGCCCAACCTTTATTTATCCTTTATATCTTCCAATAAGTACATAATCCCCTTTAAAAACTATGTATATCTATTTGTGTGGTAACACTTTCGAGGTAGAGTTCATTTATCCAGCATTTGTTTATTTAAAATTGTTATTTTTGATTGGATGTCCTTTTGTTTTTTAACAATCATCAGATCACCCCAACTAGATTCATTTAATGTGTTCCACGTTTCACAGTTGTTAAAAAAAAATAGTTGTTAAAATGAAATTGGCTGTATCAGTCAGGAGAGGCTGAGATGATGTAGAAACAAATTACCTTAACAAGGGCTTAATCCTTGCCAAAAGCCAATGTACAGTACAGACTGGGAGGGGTGTGTGTGTGCCATATCATCATTCAGGACTCAGGCAGCCAGAGTCCCTCCCACATGACATACAGCTTCAGCATGCTCTGTGGCAGAGTTGAGCCTTTGCCTTAGCCCTGCAGTAGGACAAGCACCTCTCGACCACAAGGCAATCAGGAGATAGGAAGAGCATGTGGCTGGCACCAAGCAACGAATGTCAGCCCCGCAGGTAGCCAGGAGGCAGGAAAGCCAAAGGATCCCTAGTCTACAGCATGTGAATGGGGAAAGCTTCCAAGAGCACACAGAGGGGTATGCTATCAACTGTACTAAAAGGAAAAGTGAGAGAAGAAAACATGAAAGGAGAGAACACAGAAAATCTCCAGAAGAGCACAGGAAAAATTGGCAAATCTGCAGTGAGAACAGCTGCTTCTTTGGAGGCAAGCTGGTAACAAGGGACAAGGAGGAAGGGAGGCTTATTTTTAATAGATACTCTTTCATTGCCTGCATGAGTTATCTATTTAAAAACACTTAAATAACTTGTAGGCTAGGAGGGATACCTTTCAAATTAATGAGTTTCTCTTTTCTGAATGAAGCCCAATCTAATCTAGTAGAAGAAACACCAAATCCTTGACTCATCTTGTTTGAAAATGAACACATGGGGTGCCAGTGACAGTCGTATCTCCACTGAGAGGTCCAGGACCAGCTTCTATCTGTTCTACACAGATGCAGTTCTACTATGTAGGTGGGCAAAACAGACTACAGTTAGTTAATCATCTCCAGGGGAGAATACTTTTCCTTATAACTCAATTCATGTATTATTTTCTAAAACAAAACGCCTTTTCTAAAATAAAAAGGTGTTTTACTGTAAACCCGAATGCTAAACAGAATACAAGAAATACACACTCCTGGATTTCCAAAAAATAAAACACTTATGCTTTGGAATGCACATATCTCTAAAAGATAAGGACTTTTTTACCATTGTCAGAATTTTTAAAAAATAAATGATTTTTGAAAAAAACCATCAAATATCAGAGCTTAATTTTTTCCAATCAGCTCACAAATCAAGATCCAAACTTCACATGTTGCATTTAGTAGATTTAGTAGCTCAGTTTCTCAGGCCTATTTCATCATTAGTTTAGGATTTCTCTTTCCTTTTTATTTTTGTATTATTTGAAGACATGAGGTGTCTGTCCTTAGAATGTCCTATGTAGGATGTCACTTATTGCATTCCCTCAGGGCAGGATGACACACTCCTCCTCCTCTATAACTGCCAAGATATAAGCCCCGTTGCCCACTAAGTTGCCCAGGCTGAACTGGAACTTGTGGTTGTTTTTTTCTTTTTGGGGGGGGGTGGAACCGGGGATTGAACTCAGGCCCTTGAGCTTGCCAGGCAAGTGTTTATTCTACTGAGCTATCTCCCCAGCCCCTGAACTGGAATTTGTGATCCTCCTGCCTCACAATGCTGGGATTTAGAGCCATGTCCCACCATGCATGGCTATTAGCAATTACTGATCATTGCCTTGGTCACTTAATTGATGGAAGACGGCAGAATTTTGACAGGGACCAATGAGGTTTTACATTGTTTTCAAATTTTTATTAGGACACATTTTTAGTATATAATGATTATGTTCATCAGTGGAAGGAGGCTTTTTCATTTTCTTTTTTTGTCTTTTTGAGACAGGGTTTTACTATGCAGTTCAGGCTGCTCTTGAACTCACTTTGCAGCCCAGCCAGACCTCGAACTTGCACTGATCCTCCTGCCTCAACCTACTGAGTTTTAGGATTACAGGTGTGTGCCAGCACATCTGTCTTGAATTTTTTGATCTATTTTTCGTGTCTTAGGGTTTTTAGCCCTTTAGTATAAACGCATGGATTTTAAGTGTATTCAATGTATTTCACTTCACTGCAGTTATAATTCTTACTGATCCTCACACTGTCCCATTAGGCCTATGGGAACCTTCCTTGGTTGGGTCCTAAGTCTTATATGCAGCTTTCTTTATGAACAAATAAAGTGGAGCATATTTTATCCCCAAGTCCCCAGCTGCATCTCAAGTGCCCAGCAGAGAGATGTAGATAGGAAGATTACTACTACCCAGAGTAGTGAAGCACTGCGCTGGCAAAGCCATGGGCATACATACCCTTCATTCTCTAACAGTCCTCTGCAGTCCACCACTGACCCTCCAGGGCCTATTCTGTCTCGTGTCTGTAAACTGACTAAAATGGAAAAGAAATGGCTTGTGTTAAAAACCAGGGGCATTTTATACATTGTAGTAAAGCTATCCATTGGAACTGTATTATTTAAGTATAATATAAATAAGGCACATGTAGACATAGACACATAGACACATAGACACACACACACACACCCTTCATTATAAAGTGTTTTACCTCAGTAGCTCTATATACCACATACCACTTACACAGCTCTTTAAAAATGTCTTGTAGAGAGGCTGGTGAGATGGCTCAGTGGTCTAAAGCACCTACTTAAAACAAGCTTAGCAAATCACAGGGACCGCGGTTCAATCCCCCAGCACCACATGCCAACCAGCCTCGCCCCCTGGTGGGCTGAGACACACACACACACACACACACACACACACACACAAATAAATAATTTTTAAAAATGTCTTGTAGAAAGGGGGCGATGCTTTTTATGCTCCTCATAAAGTAACACAATGCAACAGTCAGGACAGTCATGGTTTGGGGTGGGGGTTGTTTGTTTTGAGACAAGGTTTCCTTAAGTTGCTCAGATCCTCCTGCCTCAGCCTCCCAATGTGCTAGGATAATAGGAAAGCATAACCACACCTAGCTAATATTCAGTTCTTTTAAATTACCTTCTTTCTTTCTTTCTTTCTTTCTTTTTTTTTTTTTGGCAGAACCGGGGATTGAACTCAGGCCTTTGTGCTTGTCAGGCAAGCGCTTATTCTGCTGAGCTATCTCCCCAGCCCAAATTACCTTATTTCTTAAGAAAATTGTGACTTATGTTTAATAATGACATGGGGTACTTTCAATATTGATAGTCTAGGCCACCTAAATGTTAATGCTGCAGCATAACTGCACTACAGGGACATCTATAAAATTGTTTCCATCCCTCGCATATCCCTCCACCAAAAAAAGAACACCCACAGAGAGATAGGCAGTGAAAACATTTTGGTTGTGTCGCCTTCAGAACATACATGCCCTGTTCACCTGTCTTGGGTCAAGTTTACCTAAGACAATACCTAAGCAATCTGAATCAAGAAATGATTTCTCTGTGCTCCTGTGGCACCATTTCGTCTGACCCCTTGTCATGCATACTGTCAACGTTTGTCCTACCCTAAAATACTGATAAAGAATGGGGTATAAATAGGGTAAGTAATGTAACGGGTATATAATTCCCAATGCCTCCAGACAGTACTACATAACAGCAGTACCTTTAACTTTTCACCCTTATAATCTAATCATCTGGCTATAAATTTATGGCTTGTGTCTAGATGTCCTTCTAAGGCCTCATGCAAGGGCTGGCCAAATAGCTCAGCAGATTGAAGTGCCTGCTTAGGCAGATGCAGGGGCCAGAAGTTCAATTCCTGGACCTTCCGGGGCACACTGAGATAGCGATTGAGACTAGGTGTGGTGGCACGTGCCTGTAATCCCAGCACTAGGGAGGCTGTAAACAGGAGGATCACTATGAGTCTGATCTACACAGTGAGACCTTATAGACCCTCTCCTAAAATTTAACAAAACAAAACAAAAAAGACCTCATGCAGTCCAGTTGGGGTTTTTCAGAGGTGACTGGATCTAGAGTGTGTGATGAGACATGGTACAATGCTAGGATAGGATTAAGGGTGGATACAATTTAAGGGACAGAAAGAGTCTTGCAGTTAATTACTTGTAGTCTTGTCCTTTGCTTGCTTTGCTACCTTCTGCCTGCCTTGAAGAATGCCCTTCTGCCACGCCACCTTGCTGGAGAGCCAGGCAAGTATGAACAGAAGCCTCTACAAACTGTGAGCTAAATAAAATTTTTTTCCTTTAATTTGTGAATGTTGGATATTTTGTCTCAGGAACAGAAAAAGTAACTAAGATAATAAATTACATTATGTGAGAGCCGACCAGATAGCTCAGCAGACCAAAGAGCCTGCTTAGGCAGGTGCAGGGACCAGGGCTCGAATCCTGGCGTGCTGTGCCTAAGACGCAAATGAGACTGGGCGTGGTGATGCACCTGTGATCGCAGCGCTCGGGAGGCTGAGCACAGAAGGATCACTAAGGGTACGATCTGTGTAGTAAGACCCTGTAGACACTCTACTAATATACATTTAAAAAAAATTACATTATGTGGAATTCATCAGAAATCATCTTTTTATCTATACAAGAGTGCCTCCCAAAGAAAGGGCACCCAGGCACTTCGTATGTGGCCACCATCATCTACCCCTGGGTAATACGACAATAAAGTAACTGTCCATTAATGTGATGATTAAAATGACATTTGAAATCATATTCCTAACTTTTTCTGCAACCGAGTCATGGTAACTCGACTTCAAATGTTAGCATGAAAGGAACTAGTTAAAATAATAAAAACTATACACAAGAAACCACTTTAGTGAAGAGATGACACATGTGGCCTGTCCTTTGAAGTCTGTCATACTGTCACTGCCTACATATGTTCCCAAGAGTTCTGTAAAAGAATCCTTTATACAGATGAGCAAGCTCTTACCTACTATTTGGCCACGAACTGCATCAGTGTCTGAGGGGTTTAGTTTGCATAGATCCAAACGCTGGTCTGCAAACAAACAATTCAAAACTTAATCCAAGGGGGGAAAAAACTTAATCCAAGGAAAGTGAACTAAGGAGGAAGGCAGGAATTCTGTATTCAGCATTCAAAAAACAACAAAAAAAATGTGTCTCCTAAGCTTTCTTCGTTTGCATTAAGAGGCAGAGGAGCATTTGGTTCTTACAGCCAGTGTCTTTTAGCCGGCTGATGGCGTTGGAGAGCAGCCGCACGCAGCCCAGGAAGCCAGCTCCCTGCTTCTTGTGAATTTTCTTATGGTTCCACACGCTGATGGTTATAGAATCAGTTTTTCCAACATATCTGAAAAGAACAGTAAACTCTTGTGTAATGGTGTTTCTGAATTATGATAATCTCATTACAGTCACACTTAGCAGACTGATTTAGGAATCCTTATAAAATCATGTTGGCTCAGTATCCCATGTGGAACAGGCATTCAATAAATACATCTAATTACTGTCCCCTGGCAGTATTAGAATACAATAAGTTAGACAAGGAGCAAATGGAAACAGCTATATGATAATAAGAATCTGTAACCAACGCTTATCGTATTCTGACACTGCCACAGGACAGTAACATGTGTACATCCCCATCAGTGAAGTTTAACAAAGAACATGAGTTTGCAATAAGGGATCCATATGAACCCACACATCCATCCAAAGCACACTCACTACGGCATCAGATCCCACTCACTCAGTCTGCAGGTGGGCCACAGTGAGAGACTTACAGGACATGAAATGACCACCACTTTCATAGCCATTTCTGGACATTCGGTGGAACAAAAACTAAGCTGTAGAATATAACTACTACTAAATACCCCACTATTCTTGTACATAGTATACTTTGTTTTAATTTTTAAAAAAACCCAATATTCATTCAGTATTACTTTGATGGAAATTTCTTAGGGACACAAAAACATTAAAGGCATATAAAATAGTGATCTTTAAAGTATAATGCATTCTCTGAACAAATACATGAAATTGTTGAGTAATTTGTGGACTTATATATATTCAGTTGTACAAAACTGTATTTTCTCTTTTTTAAAAAATATTTTTATTTTTATTTTTATTTATGTGTGTGTGTGTGTGTGTGGCCAGCTCAGCCCACCAGGGGGTGGGGCTGGCTGGCATGTGGTGCTGGGGGATTGAACCGCGGTCCCTGTGCTTTGCTAAGCTTGTTCTAAGTAGGTGCTTTAGACCACTGAGCCATCTCACCAGCCCCTGTATTTTCTCTTGTAGAAAAAAGTTTGTAGCCAAATTTTTATTTTTACTTTTTTTAACAGTGAATTTATTTATTTATTTATTTATTTATTGCAGAATCAGGGATTGAACTCAGGACCTTGTACTTGCCAGGCAAGCACTTATTCCACTGAGCCATCTCCCCGCCCCCCCTTTTTTTTTTGGTATGTGTGTGTGCAGGGTCTCACTACAGCTGGAACTCGTAGTGATCCTCCTGATCTTCCTGTTTTCTACCTCCCTAGTGCTGGGATTACAAGCATGCACCACCATGCCTGGACTCCATCGCTGGCTCAAGGTGCCTAGGGGCAGGCCGGCATGACATGCGGTGCCAGGGATCCAACCTTGGCCCTTGTGCTTGCCTAAGCAAGTGCTTAGTCCACTGAGCTATCTCGCTGGCCCTTAAGCCAAATTTTCAAATATCAATAGAAATTTATGATTATCATAATACATTTTTCAGGTAAAACTACAACTTTACAAACAAAGTATGCTGGGATGTATCCAGCCTCATAGTCTTTTCCTCTGCTAAAATGTCCAAATGATCGAAAAATCTGGGATCACAGCTACACAAGCAAACCTTAAAAACCTATGAAAATATCAAATGTAAGAACTTCCAAGTACATAAACTATACAAGGAGGTAATTATGTATTTGTCTGGCCATCTACTTTTGCTTTCAACCAAAAGCTAGCAATTCTTTTCTTTCTTAAAGGCTTCTTTTGAAAGCTAGACATCTACTCTCGCAGCCTCCCCAGATGGCGGGACATCCACTCACAGATCGTAGTGCTGATTCCACTTTGGGTCCAGCGTGTTTTTCACAGTGTCAGTTGAGTGGCACTGCCCAGAGCCATCGACGACAATCTTAGCAAAAGGGTCAGGGAGTCCTAGGAGAGAGGACCACCACACTTAGATGAGCTGACAGAGCGGTCAAGGAAGCCACAGACACAGCTTCCAGGATGGAGGAAGCTGCAAGATCTCCCAGCAAGGTGAAGAAGTGTTCCTCGGATGTTTTATTCTCTGCTTTAAAGTTAATCTCACTTGAAAAAGCAAGTTATCACTGTTTAGCACTGCCCCATTTAGTTCTTGAAATTATACCCAGTGCCTTCCTGCTGAGCTACATCCCCTTCATGCTGAGCTACATCCCCTTCTTGTTTCACTAAGACACTAAGTTGTCCAGTGTGGGCTTGAACCTGCTGCAGCAAGGACCTATTAAAGGTATATGCCATCACTCTTGGCCACTATTTAGCTTTCTAAGAGAGATTCCCACTATGCCTTTCATCTCAAAATTTTAAGAGTACAGGAAACTTTATAAAAATAGGCTTATATTCAAATTTCTATCTGTGATTATCACTACTAAGTGGGGATAATTAAAAGAAGAAAACGGTGCCTGTAATTAGTTGTATTTGTACTTTTGAAAAAATAAGTCATAGCAGTCTGCCCAGCATGGTGGCACATGTCTGTAATCCCAGCACTCTGGGAGCCTGAGGCAGGAGGATCACAAGTTCAAGCCCAGCCTGGATAACTTAATGAGATTCCATTTCAAAATAAATAATAAATTTTTAAAAAGGGCTAGGGGCATAGCTCAATGCAAAGGCCGAGTTCACTGATACAGACCAAATGAAAGGTGTTCCCAGAAATCCTGTTTGCTGACCTTTGCCTATCTGACCTACAGAAGCAAGAATGGTATTCGCCAAGTTTTAATTTAATAAGTCCTTAAATGCTAGCATGAATCAGACAGGTTTATAGAATTAGGCAGGGAGGAAGATGTGAAGGTTTTACAGACAGAGCTGGATATTAGCCACCTCTCCAGAGCTTCCTAAGGACTTGGATAGAGCCTTTGGGCCTAAGTTTCTTCATTATTAAGGTGTTAATAATACCACTTAAGAGTTGAGTAGCAAGCTTGGGAGGATCAAAAAGTGTGAAGAATTTAACACTGCAGGCATCTTCTTATAGTAAGGAGCACTTCTTTCCCTCAGAAAAAGATTGTCCATTTAGGTTTATAATTCCTTTAGTTAGAGAGCTTTTAAGATGTGATCTAATTTATAAAATTTGATTAACAACTTTTTCAAAGCAGCTATTTTATTTAAAAACATCTCATTTGCATCTAAGTTGAAAATACTTCACCCAGCAGAAAGCAGTACTCTATACTGAGTAAGAGACTGAGAAAACCAGGGTGTGGATGAAGCCGAGAATGAAGCCTAAGCTTCAATAGGATTTTAAAATTCTGTGTCTTTTCACTAGGAAGCCTCAATGCTGGGAAATGAAATTTGTCCAACCATGGATTTCCATTCCAAGACTTTCAAGAAAATACACCAGTGTTACTTAGAAAGTTTAACATTTAAAAAATACACAAATAATCGTAATAGAGCAAAAATGGCTGTTTACTTACTGAAGAAGTCTTTCTTTGCAAGATTCTTGGCACATAATACTAAAAACAAACATAAATATTACAGTTAGTACTTATGGACATGATTACCAACAGTTAGCTTGTATCTGCAATGGAAAAGAAAATTCCAAAAGCCACCTTTGCCAAGGATTCGGCTTTCAAATTTAGTATCATACTGAACAAAACCCAGCAACTGTGTAAAAAATGTTTTTTCTGCAAATTGGAAGTCAATTACAACAATTTTAAAATCTTTTAAACTTAAAATTTTACTTTTAAATACAGATTTACCAACATGTTTTTACACTACACAGGATCATATAAAACCAAATTCAAATGAAGATTTGAACTATTTACCTTTATAGCAACTAATAGCAAGCAAAGAAAGCTTTTTTTGGTGGTTATAGTAATAAATTCAAAATGTTGGGGCCTTGCACAAGCTGAGTGGGAGCTCTACTATGGAGCTATACCCTGGGTAATAACACAATTTTGTAAATGTCAATTTTAGTATGTTAGAAAACAGCAAGCAAGGGGAAAGCAGTAGAAAACACGGAGCCATTATCAGCATGTTGTGGAAGAAAAATGACAAAATGTGTGCTAAGGATCCAGCACAAGCTGGGTGTGGGGGTGCACACCTGTAATCTCAGGATTCTGGGAGGCTGAGGCCAGGGAATGGCAAGACTAGGTCCAGCCT